CATAATTAACGTAAAAAATAAATCCGATGACTGTTTAAGAATGATGATAAGATCTGCATTGTTCCCTGTAGACAAGCATCCGGATAGACCTTCTAGCTATCCCCAAAACGATGGACTCAACTTCGATGGTATAGACAAACCTACACCAATATCACAAATTGATAAGGTGGAAAAGCAAAATAATTTAGCTATAAATGTTTTCGGACATTCTAAAGGAATTGTTGTACACAGGATAAGCTCCGCTCCGGAAAATATTCCCAGAATCAATTCATTTCTGATCGAAAAAGATGGTAAATATCATTATATGTGGATAAAGAGTTTTAACAGGCTATCATACGATCAAACAAAACATGCTAGAAAGAAATATTTCTGTGAAAGATGCCTACATGGGTACAGCAGACAAGATCTATTAGAAGCGCATAAAGAAGACTGTAGAGGTGTTGGACAGAATGCTATCAGGATCGATATGCCTAAAGAGGGAAAAAATATATTAAAATTTGAACATTATTGTAATCAAATGCCAGTACCGTACGTAATTTACGCCGACTTCGAAGCGCTTATCAAACCCATAGAAAATACCAACCATAATAATCAAGATAGTAGTTTTACGTACAAAACTCAAGAACATATTCCTTGTGGGTTTGGATATATAGTTGTAAGGTATGATTGGAAAACAAACCCGCCCGTGATTTACAGAGGTCCCGATGCAGCGGGAAAGTTCCTAGAATATCTACAAAATGAAGAGAGAATAATCAGGGAAAAATTATCGTGTAAGAAACCCATGCGTATGACGAGGGATGATTGGAGTGCCTATAAGAAGTCAACGAGTTGTCACGTTTGTAATAAACCCCTGGATGGGGATTCCGTAAGAGATCATTGTCACGTCACGGGTAATTATCGGGGAGCCGCTCATAACGAGTGTAACTTGAAACTAAAAATGAATTCTCAAACAATACCCATCCCCGTTGTTTCATAACCTTAGGGGTTACGATTCACATCTCATTATGCAAGCTATCTCAAAGACCGACGGCGGTTTAACGTGCATTCCTAACAATATGGAAAAATACATATCGTTCTCGTTGACTAAACCTATACATTATAGGGACAAGGATGGGAAATCTAGAACAAAGCAAAGTAATGGGCTTAGATTCATAGACTCCGTACAGTTTCTGTTATCTTCCCTGGACAATTTAGCTAATGTGAACAATCCCGATGACTTTGCGATAACAAATAAATATACCGATAAGATAACTCGTCATTTGTTGCTGAGAAAAGGTGTATATCCTTACGAATATATGGATGATTGGTCTAGATTCGAAGAAACTGAATTACCACCCCTCGAATCATTCTATAGTAACTTAACAGAATCTAGAATAACAGATGCCGATTATGAACACGCTCTGACGGTCTGGGATAAATTAGGTTGTAAGAATTTAGGCGATTATCATGATCTGTACTTAAAAACCGATGTATTGTTACTCGCCGATATATTCGAGATATTTAGAAAGACATGTTTCAAACAATATGGCTTGGACCCGGCATGGTACTATTCCAGTCCTGGACTATCGTGGGATGCATTGTTGAAGAAGACCGGCGTAGAACTAAAATTACTCACAGATTACGATATGCACTTGTTTATTGAGAAAGGATTAAGAGGTGGTATATCGATGGCAGCTAAAAGGTATTCTAAGGCTAATAATAAATTAGTGGAAGGATACGATCCCAGTAAACCCGACACGCACATATTATATCTCGACGCTAACAATTTGTACGGATGGGCTATGAGTCAACCTTTACCCACGGGTGGTTTTGAATGGGTCAATGATATCGATAATATCAATGTGAATGATGTGAATAAAGGGTTGACTTGGAATATCCAAGTTTGTTACATAAAGATCATAACAGTTATCCGCTAGCTCCCGAAAGATTAATGGTTAATAAAGATTGGATGTCGGAATATCAACACTCCTTGATGGGTAATAGTAGGTTAGCTAACGTAGAAAAACTCGTACCAAATTTGATGGATAAGACAAAATATATAGTTCACTACAGAAATCTCCAGTTGTATCTATCGTTAGGTATGAAACTTAAGAAAATACACAGAGTTCTAAAGTTTGATCAAAGCCCTTGGATGGAGCCCTATATAAGGTTGAACACAGATTTAAGAAAGATAGCTACCAGCGATTTCGAAAAGAATCTATATAAGCTCATGAATAACTCGGTATTTGGTAAAACTATGGAGAATCTAAGGAAGCGTGTTGATGTTAAATTAGTCAGATCTCATGAGGAAGAAAGACTTAGGAAACTTATAGCCAGTCCGGCTTTTAACAGAAGCAAGATATTTGATAACGACTTAGCCGCGTTGCATATGCAGAAAAGTAATATAAAATTCAACAGACCGGTGTACGTCGGTATGAGTATTCTCGACTTGTCAAAACACTTAATGTATGACTTTTATTACAACGAACTTAAGAAGCAATACGGCGATAGATGCGAGGTGTTATATACCGACACAGATTCTTTGTTTATGGAAATACAAACCGAGGATGTGTATAAAGATATGGCAGAAAAAATAGATATGTACAACACGAGCGATTACCCAAAAGATAATCCACTGCACAGCGTTGTAAATAAAAAGGTATTAGGTAAGATGAAGGATGAATGTGCTGGGACCCCTATAGCGGAGTATGTCGGATTAAGACCTAAGATGTATTCTATAAAGAAGTCCGATAATGGAGAGATAAGAAAAGCCAAGGGCGTTAAGAAGTATGTTGTAAAAAAGCATATCAAACACGAACAGTATAAAGAATCATTATTCAACGGTAGAACGTTCAAACACGAGATGAACTCTTTAAGAAGTTACAATCATAGGATATATGGATTAAGAATGAACAAGACATCATTATCCCCCTTAGATACAAAGAGATGGATTGATAATGATGGTGTAACTACCTATGCTTATGGTTATGGTGGTAATACCGTACCGTCGGGAACTATGAACAACTCTTCTCGTACAAATGCCCTACCCGGTCCATCTTGAAGATAATAAAGAATAGGCTCTCCTCCTTTCGTAACCAATCGACTAATGTTATACGTCTTAAGGGACCAAATCGGATCAGTTGTGCGACGTAGGCCTCCTTCGAGTTCACCGGGCTGGTATAAATATCTTACGCTTACTCTATCCGGAAGTTTTCGTTCTTTGCCTCTCCTCGGTGCTGAAGATTCGGAAGTCACGGATTTCATTTTAATAGCATCGGATGGTTTCTTCCCTATTAATCTTGTTACTTCATTATTCAGCGCTGATACAACGGCTGGTAATCGTGTCACCCATTCGGTTGATCTCAATCGCTCGGATTTCATTTCGATCCCATACTGATAACCAAACAAACGTTCCGCTAATATCCTGTTAAATCTTTCGACGATAGCTTGACTTCGGTGGGCCTCTCTTTCACCACGGACGATTTTGACATCGTTCTTTGTTAACAGTGTAGTTACCGATCCAATAAACTCGCGACCAGGATCTACTTGAAATAGCTTAGGCCATTTTAGCGGTCCGCGTTTATATATGCGACTCAGTGCATTAGCTACCTCTGTTGATTCTTTGGAGGTTAATGGCTCAGCCTCTTTGTATCGACTAGCCACATCCACTACTGTTAAAGCGTATTTATACGTTTTGCGTTTTACCTTATCGTGGGGAAGAAACAAGAGGTCAGCCTGATGAACTTCATTCGTCGTAAAAATATCAAACTTCTTCCTCGGTATATAACGTGGTGCCGGTAAATATATTTGCCACATCGCTTGTTTCTTTAACCAATCCTTGGCCACATCTGTAGATACCTTAGCCGCGGTGGCTAATTTTTTTATTGCTCCTACACCTTTCCAATATCCTCGTGGGCTATAGTAAATTTTATCCATTATTAATTAATATTGATGTTTCGTTTAATACAACTCATGACTATCGTTAAATCGCATAATCATTTTGGCATAAAAAATCCCCCCCGTAGTAGCAGTATAGGTATATAAATCTGGCTCCAGTGGAAGTGGTCCAGAACCCCCATTACCTATAAAAATTTATATCATTGGCTCCAGGTGGTGGTGAGCTAGAGTCAATTTAGCTGAACCTCATGACTATCGTTGAATCGCATAATCATTTTGGCATAAAAAATTCCCTCTGTAGTGGTGGTATAGGTATATAAATCCTGCTCCAGTGGAAGTGGTCCAGAACCCCCATTACCTATACTACTGCGGCTCAAGACAGTTTTTGATGCTGAGTGAAAGGCCTCACAACCATAGTCAATTTTTGATCTGATAAGTGATTTGTAGAGGTCCAGCTGAGAGTCCCTCGATGTGCCCCAAGATGTGCCTGAAATTGCACGTAATACATTCAACTCTTTTTGACATCTGTTTTCCACATATTCTATATGTTTGCACCATGTGAGGTGTTGATCAGAGATCACCCCTAGAAATACTGTGGATTTTTCGAATTTGATTGGTTTGCCTTTTATGGAGACATGGGGTATCATAGCATTTATTGCACCATGATCTACTCCGTCCAGGGCTGACTGGAGTTTTTGTTTCGGATTTGTGAAATATCTCTGTGCTTTACCGATACTGCTCCATCATCAGCGAATTTAGAAGTTTGGGAAGGAGATTTGACATGATCAAAAAGATCATTGATCATGATGTTAAACAGGGTTGGGCTTATAATGCTGCCTTGTGGCATGCCATTGTTCAGTGACATAGGATCAGATTGATTTTTTCCCTATTTTAAATGATGGCGACCTGTCTTGTAGGAAGCTGTCTATGAAGTTTGCCATGTTCCCTTCTTTGCTGAACTCCAGAAATACTGCGGCTAGGTATTGTCTGTTTAATTGAGCTTTTTTATTTCATTTTCCAGTCTTAGAATATGATCTAGACACGAGTGTCCCTTCCTGAAGCTGCTTTGGTCAGGTTTGATGTGGTTGCCAGTTTCAAGGTGATGCATGAGCCTTTTCGTAACCATGGCTTCCATAGCTTTGCACATGTTTCAGGTGAGTGAGATCGGTCGATAAGAGTTGGGTAGGGCTTCGTCTTTCCCTTGCTATGGAAGTGGGATAACTGCAGCATGTTTCCATGCTTTTGGGACTTCTCCTTTGTACCATATCATATTATACAACTCAGTGAGTTAGCTTTTGGTTTGATCTGGTAGGTTTTTCAATATCTAGTAACTGGTTGTGTCAAGGCCAGGTGTTGTGCCTTTTCTATGTTGTATTGCATCATCAAACTCTGTCAGAGCAAATGGTATATTGTATACCAGAAGCTTGCTTTGATATCTGTTTTGATATCTTTAGCATAAGCATATTTTCCTGTTTGAATTCTTTGCTGCAATTTGTTTTGCTGCTGGCAGATGAGGAGTGCTCGGCTAGAATGTTTGCCTTTTCTTTGACTGTATGGGCATTGGCTAACTTGGGAATTTTTGTGGGTTTACGCTTACCCCTGTTTGCATGTATTTTGCTCCAGACTGTTTTAGCATTTGTTTTTTCATTTCGAGATTTGCAGAAGGTCTGCCATGACTCTATTTTAGAGTTGTCAAAATCTGTCTTTCTTCTTTCCTAGCGGCTCGGACTTGGGCAAAGGCTGATTTATCCCTTTTTGACCTATTTAGGTCTTTCTTTCTCTATTTCCCTGTTCCTCCATGGTACCGGAGTTTTGCCAGTTTTGTGGTCTTTTTTTTAAAAATGATTTCTCTGCTGCGGCAATAATTGCTGAGGTGTGATTTTGGCAAAAAGGATCAGGATTATCCGTGGCAATTTCTGAGGATTTGAATGATATATACTAGCCACATTAAGAAACTGTGCACGGAGAAAATATAGATATAAGGGCACACCATCCATATATGAAATATAGGTTTGAACACAGCAATTATTGGAGACATTCAAACGCTAATGCACGTGCCATGCGATATGACGTCATTGTTGGGGGCCTATGGACGTGCAATGTGTTTCTGCACGTGCATCCTGTGCAGCTGTACACAGCATGTGCAACTCAAAATTCGCTGTCACTTTGGAAAGCATGATCTGTGGTCATTCAAAAATTCAAAACTTCTCAGGTGCAGACACAAGCATATCACAAGCAAATCATGCCAAGATTGACAGCTGCACAGCGTCATGAAGCCATTGGAATGATCCGAGCGGGAATGAGGCAACAACAGGTGGCAACACATTTCCAATGCCATCGTAACACGATATCGGCATTGGTGAGGCGTTATCAGAACACAAATGATGTTGCCGACCACCCACGTTCAGGACGTCCCCGAGTAACGACGCCAAGACAGGACAGATGGATTCGAGTTACACATCTGACACAGGTTCAAAACGGCAGTAATGACGTCCCAGACAATACCTGGACTGCGCCGTATCCATCCCAACACTGTCAGGAATCGTTTACGTCGGTACAGAATTCGACCACGACGCCCTGCCAGGCGTCCCATCCTGACACACCGTCATCGAGTCAACCATCTAAGATGGTGTCCAAATCATGTTCGCCAACCTCGAATATGGTGGAGAAATGTTGTCTTTGCAGATGAATCGAGGTTCAACATTTCCGACAGTGACGGGCGCCAACGTGTCTACCGGCATTTGGGAGAACGTTATGCACGCAACTGTATTGTGAAGAGGAATCGTTTTGGAGGTGGCTCTGTGATGATTTGGGGTGGGATAACAGCACGGCACCGAACCCCTTTGGTGGTTGTTCAGGGCAATCTCACCGGTGTTGGCTACAGAGATCAGATTCTAAGGCCTGTGGTCATTCCTTTCCTGCAACGTCATGGCCCGGGATTGACATTTCAACAGAACAACGCTCGTCCTCACACGGCTAGGGTCGCAATGGATTTCCTTCACCATAACAATGTCATGTTACTGCCATGGCCTGCAGTTTCTCCAGATCTCTCCCCAATAGACCATGTGTGGGATGAAATGGAGCGCCGTCTGCGTCGTCTTCCACATCCTCCAGATAATGTCCGTGACTTGGCACAGGATTTGAGGAGGATATGGCAGGCCGATCCCCAGGCCTTCCATGCCCATTTGTTGGACTCCATGCGTCGTCGATGCACTGCTGTGATTCACGCACAAGGTGGTCATACCCGTTATTGACTTTGTGACTTTGTCATATGACCCCCTACTCAATTTTGATCTTCTGACGTCATCGTAACAGATGTTGTTCAGGTCCCGTTGACATTTTCTTATGGTCCGATCATTCAGCTGCTACAGCGTCTGCATCATTTTGTTCCTGCTGGGTTGTATTTCAATCAAGAATATATTTTCTCCGTGCACACTTTCTTTATGTGGCTAGTATACATTCCTTTCTGAATCAGCCTTTGCATAATCCCAGGTGGGCTGAGGATTGGGCTGTTCCTCTAATTGTGGTGGGCTGAGTATAGTGAGTATAATTTTTCACCGCTTTTAGCAATATTCCAGCAATATCACGACGGGGGACACCAGCAATGAGCTTCACACATTGTACCCTTGTTGGGAATCGAACTGGGTCTGCGGCGTGACTAGCAAATGCTTTAACCACTAGGCTACCTGACTGCCCTTGGGTGAGTATAGGAAGGTGATCGCTTCCCCAAGTGTCATCATGGACTTGCCATTGGCAATGTGTGGCGAGGTTGTTGGTGGCAGTTGTGAGATCAATTAAACTCAACGTGTTGTGGACTTGGTCATAACGTGTATGACTGCCGTTGTTCAGAGTTATGAGATTGTCGTCCTCAACCCATTTCTCTTATCATTTTGACGTATTTGCATGAATCATTCCTGTCTTCCCATAGAGGGCTGTGGGCATTAAAGTCACCAAGGATAATCCCATTTTTGCCTACTATTTGAGCTGGTCTTCTTAGCACTTCCATGTTTGTTTCATGGGTAACCCTGTGGTACATGTTAGCTATACGTAATTCAGTGCCATTTTCCAGTATTAGGGAAATAACTTGGGCATCAAGGTTTCCTACATTTGATTCGATATTTTTTTAGGTACAGCTGTCGTGGACAAGGGTGATTAGTCCGCCTCCCTTGTTGCCAGGCATAAGTCTTTTTCTGTCTTTTCTATATTTGGTGTACCCAGGTCGTGTGAATTTGGCTTTTTCGCTGACTTTAGTCTCCAGTATTAGAATGACATGTGGCTTTATCACCTGTTTTTTTACGAGTGCATTCAGTTCATTGCCATGGCTCTTTAGGCCATTTGCGTTCAACTGCAATAAAAGCACGTCCATGATTGTTTAGATGAGCGCTTATTGAGTTTTAAGGCATAACCTATTTTGGAACTGTTTCTTTGTTCCTTTGTATTTATTTCAGTATCTTGGAAGCCAGTTTGAGGATGCAGGTTGCATTGGCTTTGACACTCATTTGAATGCCATGAGACAGAGAGCATATATATGTACAGGTAAGGACAACAAAATTAATAAGATAACAAAAGATGGAAACTAACAAGGGTAGAAACTATCAAGAGAAGCCAACAGATGATTGGCGCTGATAGGTGATTAGCAATAGACAATGGAAGCTAACACTTTACAGTAATTAGCGCTGAAGGTATGGAAGCTAGTACTTAAGCTATCATAGATAAGCAATAGGTTATGGACACTGGTCAAATGGGATGGCAGGGGTAATTAGCACTGAAAGGTGAAAGAACTGACATAGCAAAGGGCAAATTGAAGCCAGCTTGGTAATTAGTCCCGACAAAGATCAAAGTAATAAGTCCTAAGCACTTGGCAGATAGGTTCCCTGGTCACGGTTCATGGCTGGCTGGTGTCTCCTGATGTAAAAGACTTCTTGCAGTTGTTGTTGGTAGACAGGACTTTGGTGGCTTCCCACATGATGTTATGGTTTTGGTTCTTCAGGATGTGTTCCGAAATTTAGGATTTCAGGTCGAGTTTGTTAACAGAGGTCCAATGTTCTTTGAGTCTGGTGTTAAGGGGTCTAAGGGTTTCTCCAATGTACTAGCGGCCACAGTTGCAGGGTATCTGGTATATACATCTGGCGTTGGGACTAGCCTCTGCCATTGGCTTGTTAAACTGCAATATGGTATCTCAGTGGGCTAGCACTATAAAATAGTTACAACAACACGGGAGCAACTAAAGGTTTTAACAATGTGGGCATGGGTGGCTCCCATCTGTATCATGCCCTTGTCCCCCTCGCATTGTTCGGGTGTCAGTCATGGTATTTCTGTGAGTGTCTGACATGCCATCCGTATCATTAATAGGATTTAGTGATCATAACTAAATGCTTTGCACTGTTGCTATTATTATTACATCTTAATACCTTCATTCTGTGCCTCTACATGCTGATTTGCATGGTGCCATCGTCTCTGGCCATCCCCCCCCCTTGGTACGTCCGGTATAGGAGCTTTTGTTGTATTTATGTCATCTTGTAGCATGGCATCGACTTATGCGTCACTTGCTCTCCAGCTTTCAGCCATACAACACATATTTTCTATTCTTGCATTCATCTGTAGTTTGTTGCACCCACTCGACCACCCTGTTGTGTTAATTACTAGTTATTCAAGCTTTGCATTGTCAGTTTGGTGGAACTCTACTGGAGCATTATGTTGGTAAAATAATTATGTTGTCATGAATAAAATGTTGCCGATGGGCGGGGTGCTGGTGCAAGTTACATTTGGCGTCTTGGGATAGTTCCGACATTATAAATTAAATAGAATAGGGTTGCCCGATTTACAGCAGGAACCAATTTATCCATTCTGCTTTACAGCAGATGGCTTTGTGTCGGCTTTACAACCGATGGTCAGCTTGGCTACAATAGTTGCCCTCGCTGATCATTTGGCAATGGTACTTGCCTGGCAGCGCTAGATGCATAGCAACATGGGTTGCTTGGCAACGATAGTTGCCGGCATCGGATGCTGCATGCATCGTTAAGCAACATGGGTTGCTTGGCAACGGTTGTTGCAGGGCAGCGGCTGCTGCATAAGGGTTTACTTAACAGGATCTCATTTTCTGTAGTCCTTCAGTACCACCACATCCGTGACCATTTCATCCAAATAATATCTCTTGTCTTAATTTCAAGTTCTGCTATCATGCATGATAGCGGAGCCCGGCCTGATGGGGTCGTGTCCTTATAAAATGTACCCTCATTGCCTGTGTAGTTACGGCTGTCCTTTTTCACCTTTAGCCTTGCCTTTGACGTATATCACTTTGGCAGAAAGTGCCTTGTTTTGTTTGGATGATGTGTTTTGCATTGATTTAGTTTGAACTTGTGCTAAATTTTTGCAATTTCTTTTTTAAAGTTGTAAAGTTTCTTTTGGATGTTAGTTTAGAATGTTATGTCATGAGCCACATCAAATTCTCGCCCCCACATGACGGATAAGGAGTTGTAAAATTGGCTTGATCTGTTTCTGTTTCTGTTTCTTTTTCCGATTCTGTTTCGGTGGATAATTTAAACTGGTTATTCTCTTGCATTGACAATTTATAGTTACAATTAAGCATAGGGGATTAATGTCCCATTTTCTTTGTACATATGTAGACCTCTCCGTCGTGTTGTGACATCATAGGAGAAATGATTTTTGCAACATAAAACAAGTAAGTTTTCGTATCGAATGTGTCACGTTATGCATAACCATATAGTTCTAATATATATGCCAGTATGTCGTTCAGTCATAAGGCAGTATTTTGTTCGCTCACAGTTTACATAATGCTGTCAAATGAAAATGTTTGTAGCACAGTACCAAAGACCATGTATGGTCTCTGACACTACTTTATCCATGTAGGATAAATTGTGGCTACATATTTACATTTAGTACTAACTACTAAATGACTTTATTGCGCGTATCCAAACCATGGGCTAATTACGTCTGTAACCTAATCACCCCTCGTAACTCAATCACCCCGGGGTCACCACTCGGCACTGTGCCCGGGGAATAATCCCGCGCAAGCATCATCCCGCCCATTGTTAGTCCGTCATTCGCGAACAGCCCTTCCCCAAGTACACACATGTGTCACTGTATCTAATCGCTTTCGCTTTGTACGTTTCCTTTGTACCCAGTCGCGACCGTTTCGCCGATAACGCTTTGAATACCATCTATTCCAACACTCGCCGTATCGCATTTATTCCGTTCTACTCCCGAACTTCACCCTCGGGACAATTTCACGCTTGTGAAATACCAACTCACCACTTCGACCTTTCGTGATGCCGCCCAAGAGAAGAGCAGCCGTCAACCACAAGCTTGTGAGGGGAGCCAAGCAGGCCAGGACAACCAGAAGACAAACCCCGGGAGTACACATTGTACAGGAGGCAACAGCTGAACAGAACTAACGTACAATCGGCGCAGCTTGTAAATGCCGCGCAGGCTGCCAACTCGGCTACCCAGGTAAACGAGCAACTGGAAAAAATACGCCAGTTGCTGGAACATTCAGCGCCCGGCCCGATTAGCGCAAACCAACAGGTAAGGCTTGGTTTTAGTTCTCCCGCCATTTCGCCCAACATAGGGAGAATCCCCGATGCTCACAACGAGGCCGACGGTGACACGGCTTGGCCAGCCAATCACATCGCAGGATACGGGGATTCCCTTTCCTTCCGTGCGGACGGAATAGACGCGCACGTCAAACAACAGGTGACGGAAAAAATCTGGCGTGGCGAGTATGTCGACCTCGGCACAATCCTACCAAACACCGAGGGAAGTCACGAGGACGGTACGATTACCATGGCGTATGACTCCTCAGGTAAGGTAATTTTAAACCAATAAAGCAGCAACCAAAGCGCCTGTCCCTGGCAAGCTGGACTTCAGCTTTCCACATTTTCATGTGTATATATGTTAGTAGGCACTCCGAGGTCCGCACAACCCAGGGGTTGCTGTCCTACATGGAAACCATAATAACGGCGGCACTTCGATTCGGTGGGGGGGGGGGGGTGCCTGGTCAACCTACGACCAACAATTCCGACACAGAATGCCAAGGGACCCCTCACGACGCTGGGACAACATCGACGGGGAGTTGTGGCTGAAGTACATGGTAACACAGACGGTACTACAATCAGAATCAGGCGGACGGGGCGCAATGACACGCGTACAGGGGGACATCGCCAGTCAGGTATGCTGGGATTTCAATAATTTTGGCTGTAGCAGGGTCAACTGTAAGTACACTCACAAATGCGGTAAGTGTGGCAAACATTCCCATAGCTCTAGGACCTGCTTTCGAGGGAATGGGGTCCAACCGACCCCATACAAGCCCAACCAGCCTTTTCCTAACAGAAAACCAGCCGTCAAGGCAGGTAAATTCAATGGCCCCTTCCCCCGTGGATCTCAATGAAATGGCACCCTGGTTACGCCAATATGCTAGGGTCAATTACAGAGATGCAAATTATCTATGGGTAGGTTTTAGCTTTGGCTTTAAGCTCGAGTTCCAGGGAAGCCGCACGGGTCTCCTGGCACGAAACTTGCGATCAGCCACGCACCAAGACACGGCAGGCTACGTGAAACAAAAACTATAAAAGGAAGTTGACTTTGGCACCCCCCTAGACAACCTCCAAGTATCCCCAATAGGCCTGGTGCCCAAGAAGCAGCCAGGATATGGTCAGCACCTGGGTAAGCATGCGGAGGAATTCCGTCTAATTCACCATCTATCCTATCCCAGGGGTAAATCTATAAATGACTTCTTAGACACAGAGGCCTGCTCCGTTGTGTACGCCAGATTTGATGAAGCTACCCATATGGTTCAACAACTGGGAAAGGGAGCACTACTAGCAAAATTCGACATTCAGTCGGCCTTTAGAATTATACCAGTCCACCCATCCGATTTTGAGCTGCTAGGCATCAGACTCGAAGGTGAGTTCTATTTCGATAAATGCTTACCATTTGGCTGCTCCATATCTTGCGCCATATTTGAAATGTTTAGTACCTTCTTGCAATGGTGCATGCAATCGCATCTTCCAACGTGTCCGATCATGCATTACCTGGATGACTTCCTAACGGGGGACACAGCAGGCACCAGCCACTGCTCAGACAACCTCAACGGATGCGTGAATACACTAGAACAGCTTGGGGTTCCTATTGCGCACGACAAGACGGTGGGCCCCACAACCAAACTGACATTCCTAGGGCTGGAAATCGACACCATTGCAATGCAGATCAGAATCCCAGAGTCCAAGATCAAGGAGGCAACAAGGGAAATCCAAGACATCCTGTCAACAGGTAACATCAAGGTCACAAAAAGGGCCCTTCAGTCCCTCATAGGCAAGCTTAACTTTATGTGCAGGGCTATACCAATGGCAAGGTCATTCAGCCGCAGGCTAACCGATCTGCTTAGCAAAGGTAAGCAACCATTTCACCACATTAGGATTACCAGCTGGGTCAAGGAAGACCTACAAATGTGGTTAACATTTCTTACGAGTTATAACGGCATTTCAGTGTTTCAGGACCAACTATGGGTGGACAGCGATTTCCTCAAGCTGTTTTCAGACGCAGCGGGTGGCACCGGCTTTGGGGCCTACATGCAGGGCAAATGGTTTAACGGTGCATGGCCACCCCAGTGGGTGACGGATGGAACTACACGGGACTTGACGCTCCTGGAGCTGTTCCCCATCACACTGGCCATCCAAATCTGGGGCAAGCAACTCACAAACAAAAAGGTCCTCTTTAACTGCGACAACCAAGCCGTCGTAACAATAATCAACAAGCAGTCAACCAAGGCCGCCAGAGTGATGAGCCTACTCCGTCCCCTAATCCTGCAGTGCCTCCGATATAATATTATGTTTAAGGCAAAGTATGTATGTTCCACTGCTAACACTATTGCCGATGCTCTCTCGAGGTTTCAGCTCAAACGCTTCCGAGAGGCAGCACCAGCCGCGGACCAGAACCCCACACCTATCCCGTGCAACATATGGCTGATCTGAGGCAGGAAGCCGGCAGACTCCTACAACAATCTCTGTCTACTAATACATGGGCCACTTACCAAACAGGCATCAATGCCTTGCACCAGTTCCGGTCCGCACACCAGCTACAAGAGGTGTAGCCAGTCCCGCTTGATCAGGTCGTAAACTTTATTGCTTATCTGTCAGTCCCTCACCACTCCCCTAACACAGTCAAGACTTACATTGCAGCGCTGTCTTCACAACACAAATTCCATGGGCTCACCAACTGTACAAACCATTTCCTGGTAGGCAAGATTTTTACCGGCTTACACAAATCAGCGGGCCGACCAGACACCAGAAAACCAATCACTGCAGATCTGCTGCAGGTAGTAACCAACAATCTGCCTCACGTATGCTCATCAGCATAGGAAGCCAGGCTGTTCAAGGCAGTCTACTGCACAGCCTTCTTCGGTTTCTTTAGGGTTAGCGAACTGGTCCAAACTGGACCCTCAAAAACAGGTTGCGCCATCCAGAATTTAAGCTTCTCGGGCAACCCCAATCAGCTATCAATCCATCTCCCACACTCAAGGACTGATCAGTACAGGATGGGGACAACAGTTACAATGTCATCTATACCAGGTAATCCGCTATGCCCGGTAGTCGCCATCAAGCACTACCTGGAGGCGCGCCCCTCCGGCCCACAACATGCATTCGTTCTCTTCGACCATTCCCCCGTTACAAGGTACCAATTCCAGGCACTCCTAAAAAAGGCCTTAGCACACAGCAACATAAACACGGCCTGCTATTCTTCGCACTCCTTCCGCATTGGGGCAGCCACATCGGCAGTCATGAACGGGGTGCCCGAACACCTCATACAACAATACGGCAGGTGGAAATCAGATTGCTACAATGCTTACATACGCTTACCAACAAATTCAATGTTGCACAATTAATTCAAATAGCCTTTCATGGTACTTACTACACTTCAGGGCACGGCAGTACTTGCTCCTGAAGGGCACCAGTCCGAACCAACTGAGGATGCTATGGCTGGCACGAGGGGGGATGAGGTGGAAGGAGCTGGACACCATTCTGGATGCACAGGTCAAGGCGACACGGCGCAGCCCCAGAGCCCTCATCATTCACCTGGGCTCCAACGACCTGTGCTCGGTCAAGGGCGATGCCAGGGACCCACTAAAGATCGAGGGGATGCGGAAGAATATCAACCGCCGACTGGCCAACCGAGTCAAAGAGCTCGGCGGTACAATGGAGCCACATCCCCAGATCCTGGCATCAGACAAGACATGGTACGCCTGGGAGGGCGTCCACCTCAGTGACAAAGGACTGTGTGTGTTTACGGACAGTTTATTGCATGCCCTGGCGCTTGTTTTGCGCCAGTAAGGATATTATCTCCACAGGTTAGTGTTTCCTTTCAGTACATAGGCAAGCCGGGCAACAATGCTATCTCCGCGTATAGCGTGGCCGTGGGTGTGGGGTAGCACTCTGGTGCTTTGTGGCGGGGTTCTTGTGGGCTACACTGCTAGTAACAAATTAACTTGCTTCCAAATTAATACTCGTGCTTAAGGCTACCTGCTTTTCAGCAGGAACCTTTCCGGGGTTACCTGCTTCTCAGTGGGAACCTTGTCTTTCCCGACTTTTCAGCCGGGGAATCGTAATATAACATACGTTGGGGCAAACAATTGCCACGTATATGGGCCCGGCGGCGGAAGTCGTCTTGTCAAGCAGTAGCTGACAGTTGGGTCCGCGGCGGGAGCCGCACAATGGTTTTGCTAATGGGGCCGGGCAGTGGGATCTGCTTTGGCCGGCTACCTGGGGCCGGGCAGCGGTAGTCTGACTTAGGCCAGCAGCGTGGAGCTGCTTTTGGCAGCGTGGGAGTTGCCAAGCAATGGTAGCGTTTAAATATGCTACCGTGGGGGCCGGACAGCGGTAGCAGTCTCAGGCCAGCAGCGCTAGCTGCAATCGCCATTGGCATGGCAACGGTAGCATTTTGGTATACACAATTAGCAGCTAAGTAGCCCACTAGTACCTGCACACCCTCGGCCATTTAACCCAATCTCATCTTCTGTTTTTATTATAGGCACGGGCATCCACGGCTCGGTGGCCCGTGCCTCTCCTTGGCATATCGCGGGATAATTGAGGTTTTTTCGTAAGCGAAACAGAAACTTGCACAACTTTTCGCACTTTTTGATCCAGGATTCCAACCGAAATGTAGTGGCAAGTCTTGTGATAACTTCAATATATACGTCTTTGCCCCCTTGGCTTTATCCTGCCGAGAAACCTACCCATTATATGATAAATCTCATTAACCCCTGCAGCAAGTTCTTAAATTTTGTAACGGTCTCTACTCCTGTAAGCTGCTGTCCGGAAAATAATGGGTGCTTATGACTGAGTACATCTTTGATTTCTATGACTTTCATATATAAGACTAGGGTTTACTTTATGGGTAAAATTGAATGCACTAAATGCTTGACGTCTAGCAGCCCATTCTGAAATTCATTCAGAGGTTTTCTAGCAGCTATTTCCGGATCTTCTATGATCATATACAAAGGCGTGTCATCAGCAAAAAGTCTTGTATTAATATTGATTCTTCAACAATATCATTGAACAATAATGGCCCCAAGACCGAGCCCTGTTGCACACCTGACAAGAGTCCTCCTAAATATGAGCTTCAGCCATTTTTATCTTCCTTTTCCATTGGTGGGACCCCCAACCCCACCATCCTTTTGAAAACCAAATGTAGTATGTTGCAGGCAATAGAATCATTTGAGAGACGATTCTGAATTTTTTTACAGATTGTAGGTTACATAGTACATTATTATCCATAAAATAGTTTGCTATGTGACAGTGTAATTTATTGTTAAATTAGGAGATAAACATACTGTGTTTTCAATGTAGAGCTAGGTTACCTGTAGATTTTACCGCGCTTAATTGAATTTGGAACCGAACGCGCACTTATCAACGCCGATTCCCAGCCTAAGCCTATCTCGGAAGCTTGACCACTGTTACCGATAGGTGAATACTAATATCACTGAACTTCTGCTATCACCACTGCCATCATAATTTGTATTTGATACTGCCATTGAATATTGTACTACAACTCTAGTATGTACTGCCATTGTAATTGCTGTGCAGTAATTTGTATTGATTTGTAAACCTAGTTAATTGTGAAATACAATTGTTAAATGTATACCATTTGTTGGTTTCACGCCAAATTCTTTTAGGTACAGATTTTTGGGTTAACTAATTGTTTCAATTTGGGAATGGACACATGACAACTTATGCACATGGTTGGACATATAATCTGTACATTTATTCACATAATGATATGTTCTTCTTTCCACAGTAATAGGATGCGCATTGAAGAGAGAAATTGTGTAGTTCCTAGGGATTGTAGAAACTGTAAGCTGTATTTTTAAGTAATCTATTTCCAAAGCCATCGGGGCCGCAAACAGTAGTACTGGACTGACAACCCAAGTAGGTGAAACCCATAGGTCTAATCCGAAACAAATAGCATGTAATTAATTTACACCTACTTGGGTTTCCCACTTCCTTTGCATAAGATATAGTCACAGATTTCATATCACTGTATGTGATAAGAAGTGCCAGGTGCCACAGATAGGTTGAGTGCGGTAGCAGCCAGTGTGTTACCGATAATTCCAACATGGCAAGACAAACAACGAAAGACAATGTTGTAATGGCTAGTAGCAAGATTATTATTATGTAATTCAAGGATGCCAAGTAAAACTTGATGCTGACACAAATTATCTTCAATAACCTGAAGCCAGACAGAGTCTAAAAAAAAAGGTATTAGTTATGTTTAGACTGATTATTGATGTACTTTAAAGCTGTTATAATGGCCTTTGATTCGGTTGTAAAAAGGGAAGAGTTATCTGGTAATCTAGTTGATAAAGTTCTGGATCCAGGGATATTGGCGAGAGGTCCTACTCATAACCAAGTGAAGTGTCAGCTGGGGGTACCCATGGCACATGAGAAGACAGTAGGTCCTGCGTCTTGCTTACCATTCCTAGGTCTTGAAATCGACAGTCAGGATGCAGGTCAGAATACCACAGGAAAAGATTGTACATATCAACATGATCATACATGATATGCTGGTGCCTGGTAAGAACAAAGTTACCCGTAAAGCTTTGCAGTCTCTGGTGGGTAAGCTAAATTTCATGTGTTGGGCAATACCCATGGGTAGACTGTTTTGCCACAGACTGATTGATGCCTGTACAAAGGTAAGTCATCAAGCACACCGTGTTCGCATCACGCAGGGAGTTCGGGAGGACCTAGGGGTTTGGCTAGGGTTCTTGAGGGAATTTAACGGTGAGTCCATTTTTCAGAATCAAAAGTGTGCTGACAATATGTATCTACAGCTGTTCACTGACGCAGCCAGCACTTTGTGGTTCAGGGCATACTATAATGGGAACTGAGCTAACGGTCTCTGGCCCCGGGAGTCGGTGGAGGACGACTCGACTGGTGACATGACACTGCTGGAGCTGTTTTCGATTGTGCTGTCAGTTTGTCTGTGGGGCACAGCCTTTGCTAACAGGAAAGTACTTTTCTTTTGTGATAACCAAAGTGTAGTGTCAATCATCAATAAACAGTCTTCAAAGGCACCTCGAATCATGTCACTGATAAGGCAGCTAGTGCTGCAGTGCCTCAAAAACATTTTGTTCAAGGCGAGATGTATAACGACACATATCGCAGATGCACTGTTGAGATTTCAGTGGGATTGATTCCGCAATGCAGCTAGGTGGAGCTAACAATCAAGGCAGAGATGAGCTCCTGTGTTACAGTGGAAATACCGGTACCCTGATTCATCATCAATGATGTCCTGAAAAATACATTGAAGTATAAAAAGGTTTTCTGTGATTCCATAAATTAGTCAGTGAGTTAATGTTGTTTGACGCCGCAGCCATCAATATTCCATGTATATTATGGCGGTCCAGATATTTGCGTTTGTCAAAACGCCTTTATGCACACATATATAAAACAAAACATTATTGCTTCTTAAGAAGACT